AGGTCGTTGCCCTCGAGAAGCCCTTCATGGCCCGCCACAACCTTTCGGTTGCTGACTTGTACGTCATACCTCCCTTCTCCGTAACCTTCAACCCCTCACATCTTGCTCCATAGCATCCAGTTCGCCGGTGCCATCGGTGTCTCCAACTGCCCCGGTGCTCCTCAGCTCGCCGCCTTCGTCGGCCGCAAGGATGCCACCAAGCCCGCCCCCGACGGCCTCGTCCCCGAGCCGTTCCACACCCCCGACCAGATCTTCGCCCGTCTCGCTGACGCGTCCCAGGGCGAGTTCGACCCCATCCTGACCGTGTGGCTCCTAACCGCGCACACCGTCGCGGCTGCCAACGACGTCGACCCGACCAAGTCTGGTCTCCCGTTCGACTCGACCCCCAACCTGTGGGACACGCAGTTCTTCGTCGAGACCCAGCTCCGTGGCACGTCCTTCCCCGGCAAGGGTGGCAACCAGGGTGAGGTCGAGTCCCCGCTCGCGGGCGAGATCCGTCTCCAGTCCGACCACACCATCGCGCGTGACCCGCGCACGGCTTGCGAGTGGCAGTCGTTTGTCGACAACCAGCCCAAGGCCCAGGCGATGTTCCAGTTCGTCTTCCACGACCTCTCGATCCTCGGCCAGAACATCGATGACCTCGTCGACTGCACTGAAGTCGTGAGTATCAGCGGAGGAGCTATGCGGTATGAGAAGTGATGCTGACCATCTCTTGTGCAGGTCCCCATCCCCCCGCCGCCGCAGGGCCGCACTCACCTCCCCGCCGGCATGACCCACACCGACATCGAGCAGGCGTGCGCTGACACCCCCTTCCCCACTCTCCCCATCGACCCCGGCCCGAAGACCGCCGTCGCCCCCGTGTACGTACCTTCTGCTTCTCCTCGCATCACTCAGTCTCTGACATGTAGCCCTTACAGCCCGAAGCCCGCTGCCAAGCACTAAAGGCTTAGACCTAGACGGTCTCTCTGCGCTACTCCTCCGGCATGGATAGCGTCGGGCATCCTGGTTGATTGCCACGGTCACGGTTGTATCTGTATCCGGTATCAGGTTCGCTAAAGGCGAAGGTTTCCGGTTCTAGGCGCGGGTGTCCGCCACTGTTGTACAATGTTGTATTATACACGTCCTATAGAGGAATACCACGGGCGTTGTATGTGTAACGATAACTCCTGGAGTGTTTCTGCGTTGCGGACAGCTCCTTGCCCGGAAGAATCACTCATGGCGATAGCACCAGATTTGTGGGTACAATGTCGCTGGACACTCTTTCATCTCTAACAGGGAGTGTACTCATGTTACCCAACCCTTCATCTTGACGCGCACTCAAACAGCTGGTTTGGCTAGCGAATCGTACTGACACACTCGCCAAATCGAGGCGTCACTTGAGGCACTGTAATTCAGTACCAGTGCCCGCAGAAAGAAGAGTGATTATTCGACGCAATCGGCAGTGATAAGACACCAACACTCCCGGGAACGCTCGTACTGTACGAACGCAAGCTCAGCATGGAGGGGTAGGTGTTGCTCCATGACGTTTCAACTGTTCTTATTTCTCTATTAGCACTTCGTAGACGCTGCGCAGACTCGTCTGAAATAGTCTACAGTGACTGTAGTCATGTTACATCCCTGACTGCGTTTCAATGTTGGCATGTTGGCAGCCCATTCCAATTGATCTCCATGCTAACGAAGGCACAATTGCCGTCTATACCTAAGACTGCCTGAGGGACCCTCAAGGAGCTGGCAGTGGCTGAGGATTACCGCGACGCGTCTGCCACGTGATCGTGGCGCCTGTTTCCCACGTTCAGGCGCCAGCACAATCCGGGATGCAACTCGCGCGGCTATTACACGTATCCTTCTGCCTTCTTCCTCCTGCGACGACACATACCTCCAGCCATCGCAATCGTCCGCCAGAGCGCCGCCTACGGACGGAATTTCAGCGCTGCATATTCTATGCTAGTAGCCCATTTTTTTGCGCTTGTTTGTATGACGTCGTGCCTTGTATTCACTGAAATAGACCTTGTGAGTTTTCCTTCCTGTGGGCCAGATATATCCGCTCACTCACACAGCGTTCTGTCTCTTCCAGTCCGATTATAGACTTTGCATAACGATTGGTCTAGCACGCCGGTAAAGTCTGAATGGTTCCGGAAGCGGGCGATCCGTACCGGTCTTCGAAAGGTATCGTTCGCCTCACGAGCAACGGTGCTGGAGGGCGGCTTCTTCGCACGTCTGACATGGTGGGATTCTGAGGCATATACCGGACGTGTGCACATAGGTAATGGACGCTGCAACGACCTGCAGTTTATGGACGATCGTCATTCCTCGCTCTTCGAACCTTCTGGGGGTTTCCGTCTGCCGCTAACCGTCTTTTGCCAACACTTGCAGCCTTCTCCAGCTGTGCAGAAGTCATCGCAGGATGGTGTCTACTGTACAAACCGACATACACGCAGGCTGTCCGTTGAGCTCTCTTCTCGCTGCTTCGAACGACCAACTACGCTTGGACGGCACACGACAGGCTTCGGCAACGACACTACCGAACGCGGCCTGTGCCCCTCCTCCGTTCCGCCGGGCTCCGTACTGCACGTATACCCATGTCGCTGTGAACGCGTCACAAATGCATCAGCCCACCACGCTGTCTGAGCAGATCAACGTCTCTTCACAACGGAAAACAGACAGTGCCGCTGTTGGTGGGAGGCTCACCTTTCATACTTGCCCACGGATATGACACTCTACTGACCCGACGTTCCGTCTCAATTCAGAGCATGCACGATCGGGCGAGGCCCGCGGGAGCACGTGCGGCCCGCTCTGCGCTCTAGAGAGCACTCAGCGCGTCGGGAATGCCTATTCATAGGTCGCTCGCCGGTCTATGGAGGCCACACCGACGATGCGGACGCGCCCGCCGTCTCTTTACCCTAGGCAGCGCCCCCTTGCGGCAATGAGAACTGCAAAAATCTCCGCGCTGCGATTGGCTCGCGCCCCTCTATAGCCCCCGTGCCGCCTGCCCTGACCTGCGGCACCGACGAGGACCGCCTATGCGGCAAATGTGCGACATATGTCTTTAGACGCGACATACGAGAGGACGAGAGGTATAAAAGGGAGGCGAGGAAAGCCTGAGTCGTCAGAGCGCTCCTCTCCTCCTCTCCTCTCTTCAAACACTCCTCAGCGCGGCGCGCAAATGGCCTTCAAGAACCTCCTCACCTTCGTCTCTCTCGCTGCAGCCCTGACGGGTGCCAACGGTATGCCTGCCACCCCTCCCTACACTGACACGGTCGGATGGTTGATCTGACACGTTTTTGTCCGCTGCTAGCCGCGCTGACGCGTCGCGTTGCCTGCCCTGACGGCAAGAACACCGCGACGAACGCGGCGTGCTGCCAGCTCTTCGCCGTCCGCGACGACCTCCAGGAGAACCTGTTCCACGGCGGGCAGTGCACCGCCGAGGCGCACGAGTCTCTTCGTCTGACGTTCCACGACGCCATCGCCATCTCGCCCGCCCTGGAGGCTCAGGGCAAGTTCGGGTGCGTCTGGAGCGATACCGCTGACTTTGTGGAGGAGAGAGCTGACCAGACGACTCTGCAGTGGTGGAGGCGCTGACGGTTCCATCGCCATCTTCTCGGACATCGAGACGAACTTCCACCCCAACATCGGTCTTGACGAGATCGTCCAGCTCCAGAAGCCCTTCATCGCTCGCCACAACCTTTCGGTCGCCGACTTGTGAGTATCTACACTGCATGTGTGCGCGAACAGTTGCTCACCACCCGCTCAACAGCATCCAATTCGCCGGCGCCATCGGTGCATCCAACTGCCCCGGTGCTCCCCAGCTCGCCGCCTTCGTCGGCCGCAAGGACGCCACCCAGCCCGCGCCCGACGGCCTCGTCCCCGAGCCGTTCCACACCCCCGACCAGATCTTCGACCGTCTCGCGGACGCGTCGCAGGGAGAGTTCGACCCCATCCTCACGGTCTGGCTCCTGACCGCGCACACCGTCGCGGCGGCGAACGACGTCGACCCGACCAAGTCCGGCCTCCCGTTCGACTCGACCCCCGGGCTGTGGGACACGCAGTTCTTCGTCGAGACGCAGCTCCGCGGGATCCTGTTCCCTGGCTCGGGCGGGAACCAGGGCGAGGTCGAGTCTCCGCTCCCGGGTGAGATCCGGCTCCAGTCCGACCACACGATTGCGCGCGACCCGCGCACGGCGTGCGAGTGGCAGTCGTTCGTCGACAACCAGCCCAAGGCCCAGGCCATGTTCCAGTTCGTGTTCCACGACCTCTCGATCCTCGGCCAGAACATCGACGACCTCGTCGACTGCACTGAAGTCGTGAGTATCCTCACATTGCTAACGAGTCGACTGAGAGCACTGCTGAGCCATACGTGCGCAGGTCCCGATCCCGCCGCCGCCTCAGGGCATCACCCACCTCCCGGCTGGCAAGACGATGAACGACATCGAGCAGGCGTGCGCCGACACTCCCTTCCCCACCCTCCCGATCGACCCTGGTCCGGCTACCTCGGTCGCCCCTGTGTAAGTCCCCTCTGCCGTTCTGCCAACGCATACAGCAGCTGACCGACGGACCACTCCAGCCCCAAGCCGCCGGCTCCCACTGCGTGAGGACTGGTAGATGTGCGGCTAGGCTCCTAGCGCATCCTGGCTGATGCTTTCGTTTTCCTTCTCTGGTGGCCTCCGGTGATGCCTAGAATCACTGGAGCGTCTTTGGTGTCGACGGTCTCGGGTAAATGTATCAGTAGTCCAAATGTTGAATCTATCCCTCTTGCTATGTCTAGTGCATCGGACCGCAAGCTGCAAATACGACTGCCGGCAAACACATTCGGAATGTAATTTACTTACATGTTGAGGCAATTGAGTGCATAAGTTCTAGCATACGAACGACTCCGAGCCGTTGAAAGGTACAGACAGTAGTGGCGGCGAGGGGAAGAAGGGCGATTTGCGGGTATGGGTCCCAACAGGAGAGTGGGGGAAGAGCATTCGCTACGTATCCGCTTGCCGGTAACAGCTACCGTCGGCCGACTGGCCTAATGGTTAAGGCGTCAGTTTCCGGTGTGGAATCAGCTGAAGATTCTGGGTTCGACTCCCAGGTTGGTCGCTTTTTACCTCCTGATGGCATGTCACTATGTTGCACGGCCTTGCACAGAGTCAACGACTTGTTGAATCCGGAACCCGAGTCCAAGACTGGCTCGGTGAAGTCATGCAAACAGAACCGAATCTTTGTGTGACGAACAAATAATTACAGTAGAAGAGATGCTGCGATCCTAGGAGGCGGTCTGCTCAGGAGTTCATCCAGTGCGAACGTCGCATGCAAAAACTTCGCCATGGTCCGCACCCTGTATACTACGAACGGGGTTCCGGATGTGTGTATCTACCTATATTGCCCGTGCTCCGAATTCTGCGGGCATGTTCGGCATACCCGCCGAGAGCGGCCCTACAAGTTCTCAGGCGGCCCGCCGCCGGGTTTCGTTGCGTGCAACAGAGTACGTGAACAGTGGGCGGCGGTGCCCTCCTACCATGGCATTATCGGCAGCTGCGGCGATGCGCAGAATAGGATGGTGCGCAATATTCAGACGCCAGGCTTGGCAGATCCAGGATCCAGGCGTCGGAGAGTCTTCCGGGATATCCTGCTGGAACACAGCGCCCGTCCTGAGAGCGGTGGCTTCTGCAGCAAATCACATAGCTTGGACAGGCAGATGAGCGTCCTAGAAGCGAGACTCTACACGGAAGACTTGAGGCTGAGCTCCCTGCGCGATGAGAGAAGGCAAGAAGATTGAGGACGCTTAGACTTTGAGCGCACCGCCGCCGGGGACGCTGCGGGAGCAGTGCGCACAGCCCTCGCAACTAAGAGAGTCATGCCACAACCGAACAGGGCTCACAAGGACGTAGCCTGATCCGTAGGCATGCAGTGTGGGCGTGGTGAAATGGAAGGCGTTGTGATATATAAGGCCAGGGCCGGTGTCATCGTAGCCTGCGTGCGTACGTACCCGCTGCACTCGCTCTTCTTCTCTGCCGCCACGCACCTCGCGCAAAACAAGGGCCTCATGGGATCGCATGTGAGCAAGCACCGGTCTTCGCGCAGTCCGGAAAGACGAACAAGACATCAAGCCAGCGATGGGGGTGTGCGGCATCAAGCAGGATATCCTGGAGGAATGTTCGGTGGCTGGGGCAGGTCGGAGTCGGATGGGCCACTCGCACGAAGCGCAGAGACCGAGAGTCAGAGTCAGACTCTCCGCCAGCCCACGCCGGCCAGCCCAGCAGCACGGCCACCACACGGCCTCGCCGGCGGACAGACAGCGCAGAGAGCGAGGGGGGACGCCGGCGCTGGGCCGGACGGACGGAGAGAGGCCGATCAGGAGATTGAGAAGGTGAGTATTTGATCTCGTCCTATATCTACTTCCGGCCATAACAGCCTCTCCCTCTCTCCCGTCCGCACATCCCTCCGTCCTTCTCCCCGTCCACCACCACCCCGCGCTCGTCATCGCGCACAGCGGCCAAGACCAGAACCCAGCGACAACATGCCCGCCCCCGCGACCGTCCCCTGTCAGGTCAGACTGTCCCTGCGCTCACTGCACCGCTCGCGGCTCACAGACAGTCGTGCTATCCCAGTATCGGACAGGCAAGACGCTCGGCAGCGGAACATATGCCATCGTCAAGGAGGCCGTCCATATCAAGACGGGCCAGTACTATGCGTGCAAGGTCATCAACAAGAAGCTCATGGAGGGGCGCGAGTACATGGTCCGTCCCTCTCCCTCCCCTGTCCGCCCGCGCGGGATACCTCTCGTACAGATCGCTATCGCTGCCATCTATCCCGCGCGTGCGACGAAACCGCGGCGCTGACCTGCTTCCTTCTGTCGCTTAGGTGCGCAACGAGATTGCGGTGCTCAAGAAGATATCCAAGGGTCACCGAAACATCGTTACGCTGCATGACTACTTCGAGGTGCGTCGCGATGTTCATGTGTGCAAGAGACGCTCGCGAGCGTTGTCGCACAGACTGCACACAACCTCTACCTCGTCTTCGACCTCTGCACGGGCGGCGAGCTCTTCGATCGGATATGCGCCAAGGGCAACTACTACGAAGGGTGCGTTCCCTTCCTCCCTCATCTCTCGCGATAGAGCACGAGCTAAGCGCTATCACGTTCTAGAGACGCCGCGGCGCTCGTACGAACTATCTTCGGCGCGGTCGAGTATATCCACGAACGCGGCATCGTCCACAGAGGTGCGCAGCCTCCTTTCGGTTTCCCGCTTTAGGCGTGGCGCAGCGTGAAGCTAATCGGGGACCTAGATCTCAAGCCGGAGAATCTGCTCTTCCGGACCAAGGAGGAGGACGCGGACATCATGATTGCGGACTTTGGCCTCAGCCGGGTGCTCGACGACGAGAAGTTCCAGCTCTTGACTGAGATCTGCGGAACTCCTGGTGTACGTGTGGGCTCCTCGCGCGCGTCGGGTATCGTCTGACGTCTCGTAATATAGTACATGGCGCCCGAGATCTTCAAGAAGAGTGAGTCGCTCCCAGGTGCGCGTCGCCAACCGTATCTAATGCATTTTTAGCCGGACATGGGAAGCCCGTGGATGTGTGGGCTATGGGTGTCATCACCTACTTCCTGCTTTGTGGTAACGCAGCCTTCCTTCGTTGCGGTTTCCCACATCTAACATGTCAACAGGATACACGCCTTTCGACCGCGACACCCAGCAGCAGGAGATGGAGGCCATCTGCGCGGGTGACTACCGCTTTGAGCCTGGTACGTCCGCGACTTGCAACCGTCCTCCTCATAACCATCATCCTGACTGTCGTGTGCCATCCAGAGGAGTACTGGGCGAACGTGTCAGACACGGCGAAGGACTTCGTCAGGACATGCCTGACGATTGACCCCACGTCGCGTCCGACAGCGGCGGAGGCGCTGCAGCACAAGTGGCTCGCGTCGGACGAACCGCACTTCGTCCCCGACCCGCAGAGCCCGAGCGGCGGCCCGACGGATCTCTTGCCGCACATCCAGAAGGCGTTCGACGCGAAGAAGACTTGTGAGTGCTTATTCTTTGCAGTCAGATGGGCCATGGCTGACAGGCGAGCGCAGTCCGCAAGGCCGTCTTCTCGATGATCGCGACGAAGCGCATGTCGTCGCTCGCGGGCCTCTCGCCCACCGCGCAGCGGTTCGGGCAGAACATCGCGCAGCTCAAGGAGGAGTCCGAGAAGGAGCACGTCGACGAGGTGAGTCTCGCCCCCACCCACCTCTCCCCATGCATGACTGACCGGGCGCTTGCGCGCGTGCAGGACCGGTCGGTGATGCACTACGACGGGCACGGCGAGAGCGAGTCGCGCGAGGAGCTCAAAAAGCAGGACGACGTGTCGCAGTCCGAGTCCGAGGGCCACACGCCGCTCGTCAAGCAGCTCGCGAAGGTCTCCATCTGAGCGTGCGGGACCTGCACGTTGAGTGCACGTCGCGTCATGCGGCGTTGCTGAGCGGGCGCCGTCGCGCGCTGAGCATGGACTGTAGTAGAAGGGTTATTGAAGTACGTGCTGCGGGGCACGAAGGGCCTCGCGCGTGGATGCACGGCGAGTCTAGGGTTGTATGCGAAGGGGAGTGTAGAGGAAAGAAGTTCTAAGTAATCTACGACCGTACGATGCTTGACTAGCTCCGGCTGCGAGTAGTTTTTGCTGTATTGGTTGGGTCGGGTCGCATCGCGATTGTGTACATATGTGTGTATGTTGCTGCATGGATCGTCTGCTATCGAACAGTTGCTATCACAATTCGATATGCGGGGATGCGCTCTGTCGTAGGTGGCATGGCTAGCAGGCCTGGCTGATGAGACGGTCGGGACTATACTAGGAGACTCATACAGTGCTGTTGCACTCTCCATGACGGCGCGGTGTTGTGAACACGAGTCGTCAGCACCAACGGACCACAGATGTCTCCTGCATTAGCTGTCCGCTGAGGAATTTGGGGAAGCAGTGCTGCCACGCCTCGAGCTGACAGAGGAAGGTTTCACGTGTCTCGGAACTTGGTCCGGCAGTTTCTGGAGTCCCTCCTTGGGCCAATCGCCTTTCCTGTAAACATCGAGGAAGGCGCGAACGACATATACATGGTCCTTCAGCGGTGACTCCTTCTGCACTGAGTCGCTGAGCAGGTCGGATGTCGACCTCTCCGGTCGGTCTTCTTTGGGACAGAGGGGCCGCACAAGTTCCTGCAACTCCTCCCTAAAGCTGGTGTTCGAGATGGCACTTTCTCGTGTGAAAACAGGAGGCGTGTTCGGCGAGTCTTGCGGTTTTGTGCAGTACGCCATGACTTCTGCCGACGTGTAGTGCTCCTTGCACAACTCTGCCAGCCTCCAGAGTAGCTTGGCGAGCGGGTTGCCCGCGCGGTCTGGCAGACCCCAAGCGAGGGGGTACCCGGTCATGATTTGCAGGTACTTGGGTGACGAGTTCAAGGGGGCTCCTCCGCCAAGGGGTTCATCGTAGAATCCAGCGAATACGTAGGCCAGTACAAGTGGTTTCCCTGTATCCGAGTGCTTGAGGTATTTGTACGCGCACCAGTTCAGGACGTGAACGAAGGACTCCAGGTCGTCCGACACCTGGTGTGGCTTTTGTGGATAGCACTGCGCGAGTGCTGACATGAAATGCCGTGTGCCCTAGGGTGTTCGTAGAACGTGAATAGTCAGATCTGCGTTGTGTGCCTGCCAACAATCTGGATAGCGGTACCGGGCGGGAAGGCTGTATGGACAGCTCAGGATCTTCTGACAGCGGAAGGTCCCAGTCCACCAGTAGAGCACGTCCTGAGCCTGATGTAGTATCGTGGATGAGGATGTTGTTGACGCTGACGTCCCCGTGGAGTATTTGGGCCTTATTCCAGACAGACACGTGTGCTTGTAACACAATGCCATGAGTACGCTGTCCAAAGTAGCAGGATAGTGTATATGGCACATACCGGCCAGAGCATGGAACATTACTTGGAGCAGTTCAGCCGCGTCCCTGAAGCCAGTCAAAGGTCGGTACACATCTTCATGGACTAGGCGGGAGCGACTCCTAGGAAGGGCGCGCGGGGCAGAATCGCTAGCTGCAGTTGTGCAGTGATGGCGCCTCCTCACACCGGGATGGCGGCC